CAGGGGACGAGGGAGACAATCATTTAATAAGGCTACTGTTGAATGTTTTAAGTGCCATAAATTGGGGCACTTCCGGTATGAATGTCCAGATTGGGACAAGAAAGCCAATTATGCAGAAGTAGATAATGAAGAAGAGATCTTATTGATGGCTTATGCGGAATCTCAGCGAGCACATGAGGAAGGTATATGGTATCTTGATTCTGGATGCAGCAACCATATGACTGGCAATAGATTGTGGTTCTTTAGCTTGGAGGAAGAGTCTGGCAGAACAGTAAAACTTGGAAATGACATGCATATGACAGTAGAAGCTAAAGGAAGTATTAGAATGCAAATCAATGGCATATCTCAGGTTTTGACAGATGTCTATTATATTCCTGAGCTGAAAAATATTTTACTCAGCATAGGTCAGTTACAAGAGAAAGGGTTGACTATTCAAATTTCCGATGGCATATGCCAAGTTCTCCACTCCACCAGAGGACTAATTATGCAAACCAATATGAGTGGAAACATGATGTTTTACGTGACAGCTACCTTAGTACTCAAACCACCAACATGTTTGCATACAGAAATATCCGAAAAGGAGGCTTATCTGTGGCACTGTAGATATGGACATCTCAATTATAAGGATCTGAATTTGCTAGCCTGCAAGGAGATGGTGGTTGGGCTACCAACATTGAATTTCCAAAGCAAGACCTGTTCTATATGCCTGACTGGAAAACAAACCAGAAATCTTTTTCCCAGCCACACCACATGGAGGGCATCTAGTCCACTTTAGCCGATTCACTCGGACATTTGTGGTCCTATTCGACCGACTTCACACGGTGGTAAAAGGTATCTTTTGAATTTTATTGATGACTTTACTCGTAAGACATGGGTGTATTTTTTACATGAAAAATCGAAGCCTTTGACATGTTTAAAAGGTTTAAAGCTAGAGTTGAGAAGGAGACGAGGGCACGTATATCTTGTCTCGGGACGGATCGTGGTGGAGAATTCTTGTCAAAAGAATTTGAAGAATTTTGTCACTTTCAAGGAATACGTAGGCGACTGACGCCTCCTACACTCCCCAACAAAATGGTGTGGCGGAAAGGAAGAATAGGATCTGTTATGAATGTTGTTCGAGCTGTTTTGCATGGAAAACGGGTTCCTAAGATGTTTTGGCCGGATGCCGTGAAGTGGTGTATGCACATTCAAAATAGGAGTCCAACTGCAGCAGTAAAAAATATGACTCCAGAGGAGGCCTGGAGTGGTAAGAAGCCTATAGTAAGACATTTTAAAATTTTTGGATGTCTTGCTCATGCACATATACCAGACCAGAAGCGGACCAAGCTAGCTGACAAAAGCAGACCCTGTATTTTCTTGGGGTTCAGTGATGAGTCAAAGGCTTGGAAACTCTATGATCCAATATCCAAATCCACCATCATCAGTAGAGATGTGGTGTTTGAAGAGGAAGAATGCTGGAATTGGAGTCAAACCGAGAAGAGGCAAAACAACACTTACATTGTGGAGATGAAGATGAAACTTCCAAGAATATTCATTCAGCAGTAATTACATTTGCGGATGATGAAGAAGAAAATAGGACCGAGGCTAGTCCATCTGATACATCTCCGGCAGAGGTTGTACGTGTGAGGAGACCTCCAAGATGGTTTGAAGATTATGAAGTTGGTTTTGGTGAAGGAAATTGCTTGAATGCAATGTTGATGATGGCTGATAATGATCCAATTACTTTTAAAGAGGCTGCATTGAGTAAGCATTGGAGGGAGGCTATGACAAGCGAAATAGAAGCAATAGAAAGGAATCACACATGGGAACTCACTACATTACCTCCTGGTGTTACACCCATTGGAGTCAAATGGGTATTCAAGACAAAGCTTGATGAAAAGGGACAAGTGGAGAAATATAAAGCGAGGCTTGTGGCTAAAGGCTATGCACAAAGACATGGAATAGATTACACTGAGGTATTTGCACCAGTGGCTCGGCTTGATACAGTCCGAGTAATCTTAGCCATAGCTGCACACTACAGTTGGAAAGTATTTCAATTGGGTGTAAAGAGTGCGTTTCTACATGGAGAGCTCGAGGAAGTCATCTATGTCCAACAACCAGAAGGTTTTGAAATACAGGGGGAAGAAGCGAAGGTATATCGACTTAAAAAGGCACTATATGGTCTCAAACAGGCACCACGGGCTTGGTATCAGAAAATTGAAGCTTACTTTACACAAGAGCAATTTGAAAAGTGTTCTAGTGAGCATACATTATTTATCAAGTCACAAGACAACAAGATTCTTATAGTTAGTCTCTATGTAGATGATTTAATATTTACTGGCAATGATAAGTTGATGTGTGATGAATTTAAACAATCTATGATGTTGCAATTTGCTATGACTGATCTGGGTAAGATGAGTCACTTTCTTGGTATTGAAGTGCAGCAGAATCACAATGGTATATTTATCTGTCAAAGGAGATATGCACGAGAAGTGTTATCCAGGTTTGGCATGTTGGACAACAATGCAGTAAAGAATCCAATGGTGTTAGGCACTAGACTATCATCAGAAACAAAAGGGGAGCAGGTTGAGGAAACATTGTATAAACAATTAGTAGGTTGTTTGATGTACTTAACTGTAACAAGACCTGATCTGATGTATACAGTCAGTTTGATAAGTCGATTTATGACAAAACCCACCACAACACATTGGCTTGCTGCAAAACGAATTCTAAGGTATGTAAAAGGGACAATGGACTTCGGGATTTGGTACAAGAAAAAGACTGGTAGTCTAAAACTACTAGCCTTCACAGACAGTGACTATGCAGGTGATTTGGAGGATCGGAAGAGCACATCTGGATTTGTCTTTATGTTGGGTACAGGAGCAGTGTCTTGGGCATAAAAAAAACAAAGTGTGGTTGCACTGTCTACAACTGAGGCTGAATACATGGCAGCAGCCTTTTGTGCATGCCAGTGTGTTTGGCTTGGAAGGATACTCAAGCAGATTGGAATTAGACATGAGACTGGAGTAGAAATTATGTGTGATAACAGTTCTACTATACAACTGTCCAAACATCCGGTGTTTCATGGAAAGAGCAAGCATATTGATGTAAGGTTTCATTTTCTTAGAGATTTAGTCAATAGTGGGGAAGTTCAAATGAGTTTTTGCACCTCTCAAGATCAAATTGCAGATATTATGACAAAGGCACTTAAGTTGGAGCAGTTTGAGAAATTGCGAAGCTTACTTGGTGTAACTAGTATAGAAACATTGGTTTAAGGGAGGGAATGTTAGGTTTGTTTAGTATTTTGCTGTTATCTATTCCTAGATTTTAGGAAATAATTAGTCAAGTATTTTCTTATTTTTCGGGATCACATTCTGCTGTAAATGTGGTCAGTTAGCTATTTTTGCTGTATTTTGGCTTTATAAAAGTCATATGCATTTGGTCAATAAAACATATCGAGCATATTTTCTCACTTATTCTATATTTTATAATCTCATTCTACAGTCTTTTGAACACAAACTTTGTGTGATTAAAGATACAAATAACTTGAAATATTCAAAATTCACGTGAAAAGAAAAAGTTTCACTTTAAATTTGATGACTAAAGAGATGATTACAAACGAAGATATAAAAGAAAAGTAAAAGAAAAAACATGAAGAAGATTTTTTGAAGGAACTTGATGTTAAGGAGGAAAATAAAGATATAGATGAAGAAACAGTTTCAAACTTTCATCAAAGAAGTCAACAATATTATCACTGAAGTTTGAAATAAACAAAGGAGATGAAGTTGATAACGGAAGAAATATTTTAATGAAAAAAATGAAGTTGAATGAAGATGTGATCTTGTTTAAGAAAAAAATGACAAGAAATAAAAAAAAAGGAAAAATTATAAGCAAAATAAAATAAAAAAATCATCAAATTCAAATAAATAGATATTAAAGTAAGGAGGAATATTGAGAATATTACTTTATTATCTTTTATTTAAATTAGATATTAAGAGATTTTATTATCTTTTAAGAGAGAAGGTAAAAAGAAATTAGGTTATTATTTTAATTTAGACAATTATAATTAAAATATTATGAATATTTAATATTTTATAATATTTTTACTTTATATAAATAGAAATATAGTCACGTAACGAACACATAAAACCTAAAATATTCTGAGAAAAAAATGCACGTCGAAGGAAAAGAAGTAAAAAAAGCAATGAAATGTGGGGTTGAAAATGAACGTGGTGTAGCCTTAAATATATGAGACACATTGATTAAGACTTAGAATGTTGTCCACAAGTGGATTAATCAGTGATGATGGGCATAGGATCAAAGGGATATCCATGTGTGATGCTATGGATTGGGCCAAATGGTCCAATTGTGGAGAGTGGACTCGTACAATAATGGTAACGTGTATGCATTAACGTTAAGGATCCACTCCATGCTTTTCTGCTTGGAAATGAATGATGGTGATGGTGATGTTGAAACCACAGATTAAGCCATGATGATGCTGTCTATTGTCTCCTCCGGCTATTATTGCTTATTTCTCTCTCATCTTCTTTTGTTTCCGTTACCTTTTTAATCATATTGACGGAAAACCATGTTCGTCATAGTCGTATTCTAAATACAGAAAATTACTTGAACCGGACTCACTAATTAAATGGAAGGTGATTATGAAGAACTCTAGGTGATTATTATTATTATTAGAGTATGTTTGTTGATTTAATCTGGTCCTTACCATGACTCAAACTTTACACCGTATTATCAGTTCCAACAGAGGCTTTCTGCCAATCCTTCTAAGTACAAAATCATAAAGGGAAGGAAGAGAAACAACAATTAAGCACAAAACACTTGGATAACTTGGTATTATTTTACATGCGTAGATAGCCTGCTCTCAAATAAGTCGCAGGAACATAGACAGAACGATTTTAAAATTTCACGTCTTCTACCAGCAATATATAAACCAAGAAGAGGGATATGGGATATAAGTTCAGGGTACATTGAAAACCACTGTCCCAAATACTCCCTTCTCGCTACTTGTACTCCAGGATCATGTTGTTCTCAGGAGCTAATCCAATACAAGCCCTCATGATGTTTTCCAACATAGCACGCTGTTTTGATAATGCATTCACCACTGGGGTACCTGGTGGAACCTGTATTGTTGCCACCATAATAATTAGTTTTGCAACATTTGAGGATGTTATATTATGCTATATAGATATAAAATTTAGACTTACAAGAGGGGCCTTGCTCAGGTAGCTGAGGATGGCGGCAACAGGATGAAATGAGTGAAATTTACCCTGTTAAAGCCACAAATTCAGTTAGAAGACTGAAAATAACATAAAGGTTTGTAAAATGGAATCATTGAGGGAAGAATATAACATACTTCATCTTCAGCTTTAAACTGGATTCTAGTGCTAAGTTCAGCAAGTAGGACCAAATCCAAGATGATAGGAGCAGCTAAGAGTGAATCCTCACAGGTGTTATGCAACACTATTGTGTTTTTCCCACCCATGAATATCTCTGAAGTATACTCATCCATAGCCCTCTTGCTGTCCCCGACGCAAGGCACATACTGCACAAAAACTCACACGATAAGATAAACAACAAGTAGACACAGACTGAAAATTTGAAACAAAAATCACCTTAATAACAACAACATGGTCAGGATGTTCGCCAGGTTGATAGAGGATGGCGTTGCTATTGACCATGTCGTCAACAACGTTACTCTTTGAGATTTCTTTGGAACGGAAGGTTTGAGGAGCTGAGAGATTCATACCATCGTTGTTTCCCAGATGGTTATAACTTACTATTGATGTTGGCTGTTATTCATGATCAACCCAATTAATACATTATTTTAATTAGAAGTTTAAACATATAACAAACAACTTAACAAATGATAAATCATACTCTGTCCTTAACTTTAACTAGTGAAAGGAGCACCACGTGATCCGACATTAATAAGAAAAGCAACAAAAAAAATGTACCTTGATGCCTGCCCCAACAAGGAAATCCACCAACACAGATTTCATCTTGGTCTGACCACTCTTGAAGTCATCTCCTCCAATTAGAGTGTTTCTTCTGATGGCTAGGTCAATCAGTCCTGATAACAACTCAACCAAAATTCATTAATTTTATTTTGAGATAAAATTTAGTGACCCACCACGTGATAATAATAATTAATAATTAACAAGTAACCTGGGACAAAGGTGTTCTGCGGGCTTCCATTAATGAAAGGAACATTTTCCATGACACAAGCAATAGCGTACAAAGTGGAAGGGGAAATCTCAGCCTCGTTCCTATCCAAAGAAGCCAACAGATTTTCGACGGTATCGTTTAATCCCACAACTACGTTGCTGTACCTCTCTGTGTTGGCTGTCCAAAGGACAACCACTTTGTCAACTTTGCTCTTTTCTTTAAATTCCCTATGTTTTCATAACAGATGAAACAAATAGTTTCAAACTCAATATATAAGGTGGTAACTAGTTTGTATTTGTGTATATATACTATGTAGTTAGGTAAGTTGAGGTGATTGAACGTACTTAATGTCTTTGATGATTTGTTGAACTTGTTCTTTTTTAGTGCCCTTGATGACATTGTTGGCACGGTCTCCTTGATTGGCAGCAATAAAATCAGGGTCAAAGATTCCAGGGAGTGGAACCATGGATTCCATGTATGGCCTCAACTGTTTTTGTAGATCGATGTCCAACACTTTAGCTCTCGCCATGGCGTCAGCTAAGTTTAAGTTACTGATATCCCATCCTCCAAACACAATATCATCAGGGTTTACCTACATAAATTATAAGTGATTGTAATTGAAAAAGAGAAGAGTATAATTGATTTAAATACAACTTTAAATATAATTTTTGACAGAATTATAATAAAATTTGAACCATTTAATTATATAAGACAGTATATAAAACATGTAGATTAATACAAAAATCAAAATAAGATGTATTTGAAATATACATTTTAATCAAATTATAAATTCAAATTATTAAATGGAATAATATCAAGTATTTTATGTTTTAAAAATATTAAATGCTCTGTATTTACATTTAATACTTATTTTACTAAATATTAAAGAATTAAATAAGTTTAATAATGTTCGTCTCCACTTGTCGTTATTGTTTTTTTCCTCAGTGGCCCACTTTTTCCTTGATAAAAAGCATTTATCACAGACCATTAAACTCACAGGGAGGAAAATTATGAAATAAATGGGTAGGATTAAAAAATATATATTCAAATTCCGTGCTTTTATTTATTACTATATAATAGTAATACTTTTTTTACATCATTCAATCGTAGATATGCAATACGTGTTTCAAAACACGAACATAAGCATTACTTGTTTAATTGTGTAAGAAAGTAGTCATAATACGTACATGTTGATTAAACTGTTTTTTGAACTGGTAAGAAAATAGATAGCAGATCGGTAAAATATTAAGACCATGAAAACAAAAAATGATTAATTTGAGTTCCCAAAGTGATGGCAGTATACCATTGGCAGCATGCTCTTAAACGGGGCATATATTTCCTCTCCTTGAAAAGACCCCACTCTGATGGCTGATGCCTGAGTGAGGGACCCAAAGTAATTGGCGCGTTGAATTTTGTCCTTCGTTGCCCATGAAATACCCCTGGGAACCATAACATTTCATTTGTTACCATAGCCACAATTAATCATAATAATGACAAGTATAAAAAAAATACTAACTCTCTGTTAGCAATAACACCACCGGTGAGGGTTGAGCCGTTGTTTCCACCCCATCCCACCAGCATTACCCTAACACACATCAAACAGATCAAATAAACAAAACATTATAAATCACTCAACCCAATAAACAAAGAAAGGGGAGAACACGGAAACTGACCCCAATTTAGGGACATGAGTGTTAGTTTTAAATTTATATTTTACGGTTTTGGGTTTGACAACCCACTGATAAGTGCCGTTCTTGTTCTCATGAACCAGCTCAGTGGTTTCATAGTTGTACACAGATTCAATCTCACCTTCTGTGTACTTTACGTTAGGGCTCTCAACCTTAAAACTTTCGATGAACATTTTTGTTGGGTTAACAGAACAAGTATTTGAACAAAAGGTAGAAAGAAGAACTCTTTGAAGGGAGTAGTAGAAAAAGAAGAAGGGTGATTGAGCAAAGTTTCACGTCCCGCAACTCTCAATATATAGAGGAACTGCCATTGTATGTTACTTCACGTGTCGTAGAATGAGTGGTTGTGAGTCCTAGGCTCATACAATAATTGCAAAAAAATTGAGTACCTTCAATCAATTAACATCATATTCCCCATAATGTATTTTTAGGATGGAGAAGAATTATTCCTCCATAAAACCACGGAGAATTATGTGCACTATTATACAAGTAATAACTCTTTTATGACTCACACCATAAAGAGTGATACTAAAAATGCATGTTATTTCTTCTTCTTTTTATAACTATGCCATGCAAAAAATTATTAATTTGTGATTAACTAATTTTCGATGAAGTTTTGATTGATTATTTTCAATATAAAAAAATTAACTATATTTTTTTACTACATCAAATTTAAAATAATTAAATTTATTTTTCAGTGAATTCTCATTTTTTTAATAAGAAGTAAACTAAATAATATATTTTTAAATTTAGAATTTTCCATTTAGTAATATTATTATGTTCAGCATTAGCATAAAGTAATGATTGATAAATAACAACATAGAATGTTTATTGATGTTATTAACATTTATTCATTATAATTTCTCACAAAGACCTATATTTACTACTTTTAAATTTTAAAAAAAGTGGTTAATACATTGTTTAATATTTTCTGTAAATTAATAAACAAAAAATAATGATTACGTGGTTTTGTAGTTTAACATTTTAACACTGAAAAATAGTTGAAAACAAAATAGTTTTTATTGTTAAGAAAGTTTTATACAGATTTTACTGTTCGAAACTAATAAGACTTGCACATGATTCAACCAACATATTTTGAAAAACATAATTATGTTGTCTTAAGAATATAATAATTGTCTAATAATAATTACTTCAGTAAATATTAAAAAAAAAGCACAAAGAATTTCGTTTATTCTTTTTTATTTGACATTGTGTTGATTTTTTATTCAGTCTGAATTTTTTTTAACTTTAAATATTCTTCTGTGATATTTTAATCATTATAATTAATGTTTTTAATAAGTATAGCATTATTTAATTTAAAATGCTTAAATTTTTCATTAAATGTGTTAAATTATTTAAATAATTAGTTTTGATATAGAATTATTAAATATACTTTTTCAATATTAGTTTGATAAACCAGTAGTATAACTAAACTTGTACAATGATTTTTCTACTTATTAACAACCAATCACCCATCTTTACACTGATAAACGAAAACTAAAATCTTATTGAACAAAAATCTAGAATTACAATGTTTTTTTTCTTATCTTGATATCACGTTAAATCACAAACCTTAATTATGAATAGAAGGGGTAGAAATTGTTGTTCTGTGCTTGTATGTTTTTATTTTCTGGTATGATAAAAATATGTTATTGATTAATTTCAGATTTTACTAACTAGTGGCTCAATGGAACTAGTTAAGGAATTCACTAGTTAAGAGATTTTTTATTATTAAAATTATAGAGGACCAATTATAAATCACATGATAATGCATTTTTATATATCTAAAATAGAAAAAAAATTTGTATTTTTTTTAGTCTTGTGCATTAATATATATTTAATTACAAAAATTATTATTTATGAGTATAGTGCATTGGTAATTAATACTTATAATGTTGATATCTTATTTACATTTTTATAAATTTAAATAAAAATATATGTCATATTGTAATAAAATAATCAATACTTAGTTTAGTTCATATCATTTGATAATTTTATTATAAATTTTTATTTAAATATTAAGAGTATTCATATCATCGGTTAAAACATTCAATTTGTGATTTACAACACTAATCAACCTAAATTAAATCAATAATATGTTTTTTTATTATTAATTATTACATATGAAATTTTATAATGTAATTATATTTTTATAATTTTACTATTATTTAATTGATATGAATCAATTACATTACAATGTTATTTTATTTTTCTTAATGGTATAACTTTTTTTTAAATTATATTATATTTTTTTCTCTCAAGACATTTTTTTATATTTTCATATAATTATATTTAATTATAACCTAACCAAATTCTTATTGATAAGGTGATTGGTTTGGATTTAAAAAATGAAAGCAATGAGGGGAAGATTGATGGAAATATCCCTACATTCCCAAGATATGATTTTGATGATGATTCAAGTCAACTACACTCAAGTCAACACCATTTAAGATGAATTAAGGACAAACTGAATCTAAGATGTTGGTGACAATGTGAAACATTTTCCTACATGCCCAAGATATGATTTTGATAAAGATGATGATTCAAGCAAGTCCAAGATGTTTCATGAAGACTAGATAATGTCTTAGAACACTGGATATGGAGGTACAAGTTGATGAAGGAATATTATGCATAAGCCTCCAAAGCACAAGTGTGATAAAATTCATAACATGATATTTTTCACTGTACATAATCAATTATGATGCATCGGAAATGGAAAAATGATTTTCTTTATCATAATTGATTATACTTGGTAACATAATCAATTATGGCAATTCAAATTTGAAAAATATATTTGTTTTGAAGAATAAATATTTTTAAATATATCCTGATTTTTATTCATGAAAATATTAATGTCTAACGACCATTTTTCGATGCTAGTTTTCTATTTAATTAAGTTTTGATGAAAAATAAAAAACACAAAATTATAGAATTCGAAAATACAATTTACATACAATCAGTTTTGAGAAAAGAATTTTGAGCAAGGCAACAGAGATATTTTACACCTTCTGAGAAAACCCTCTTTTCTACTGTTTTCTGTGCTTTCATGGTTAATCACACTTGTTCTTAGAGATTGACATTCTACAAGTTTCTACAATTTGTTGTCTCCATTACTCAGGTGTGATTGTTCTTATTTTTATTACCTTCATCCTTTGTGTATTGTTGGCAAAGAAGGTGTTTTTCATCCCTAGTGTGATTCTAGGAAGGTGTTCATCTTTAGTGAGATTCTAAGGAGGTGTTTTCATCCTTTGATTTGTTCAAAGGAGGTTTTCATCCCTAGTGTGATTCTAGGGAGGTGTTTATCATTAGTGGGATTCTAAGGAGGTGTTTTTGATTTGTTCAGAGGAGGTGTTAATCCCTAGTGAGATTCTAGAGAGGTGTTCATCCTTAGTGGGTTTCTAAGGAGGTGATTGTCTTTTGAATTAATTTACTTTTTTACTGGTTCTTCTGCTGAGTTGATTGTAATTTGCGAACTGAATTTAAAAGATAGTGAATTGGGAGTCACTCTTGTGTTAAGAGTTAACTGGGAACTGAATGTATGGTTGGCTATACCCGAACCAGTATAAATCATTATATGTTCTTCTCTTTCCCTTATCTCTTTCTCTTTTCCTGATTATATTATCAATTCCGCTTTATCTCTATTCAAACAAATTATTGACTCACAAATAAATTTTTAATTTGACATCTATTAAAATTTGTGCATCTATTCACCCTCTCTAGATACCATTTGTCTAACAAAAATTATTTTTAAATTTTTTAATCATCACGTCCTTAAAATTTATTTCTAAAGAAATTAATGATAAAATTAGAAAACAATCATATTGTAAGAAAGAAAATATTATCCAACCTCCTTCTCTCCTTGTTAATAAATTAAAATGTTTAAAACTATTAAACTCTTTCATTAAACTATTTAAAAATTTTAATAAAAAATAATATTGACTTGTTTAAAAAAATACTATATTAACAACAACAAAAATACAGTAAAATTAAATTGATAAAAATAAAAAAATATATTTATAAAAAATAATTAAACAATCAAAATAAAATGGTGCATAATAACAATGTGGACAAGTTAAATAAATCATTAACTCCACCCCAATAAAAACTTATGAAATCTTTCTCCCAAGTTAAAAAAATCCAATTACATGTTAAGTGAAGATTAACCTGTCACATATTAAAGAATGACCATGCAAAAATTATCAAAGAGTGAAATAACCATTATTTTGTAAACTTACATTGTAACGAAGACAAAATTTGTCAAACTTATTTATATTTCTATAATGAGCCCACACTAAAGGTCTTCCATCACATACACATATCATATTGAATATATAATAATAAAAAAAAACAAAAAAAAGTAAAAAACTTTTATATCACTTAGTGTTATAATATTTTCAATTATTTAATATATAATATAAAAGTTATGATTATTTTTTGCATGAAAGTTAAAGTAAAATAAAATTAAATGTACTAGGATTAATTTTGAGTTGATTGTGTAAATCAATACAAACATTATTAGGAATTATCTGGTATATATCCATATTTTTTTTTCTATGTATTAAAAAAAAAGTGTATTTTTGGTTTTTACAAGGTGGGAGAGTCTCACTTACAAAGAGGTTATCCTTACCAGACAAAACACTACATAATTAATGATGTTGGAGAAAGTTAAGAATATGTTTATAGCAAATTGACCTAGGGATGAGAATTGATATATTTCTTGGCAGTTAAACTGTGCAGTGTGTTCATATTCTCTAGCTAACATATGATGTGACAAAACTCTTTGATCCAAACAATTTACAAGTTATGCAAGAGAGATAGTACTTGAATTTGTCAACATCGTATATTCTATCAATCCTACGCTACTTGCAAAAAGTATATATAACTGTTCTTCAACCAACACAAAAGACTAATATGCAAAAACTTGTCATCGATATTAAGCTTAGACAAAGTCTAAAATAAGGGATCACGTGAGGGAAAGGAGCACTCTTGTCTTTATTTCTTTTTATTGTTAATCACAAAAACAAAATCTATACATACATGTATATGGTAGCACAAGTGTTAATTCAAATACAAAATTAAATCACCTTAAATGACCAATGTTTCTAAATTTTGATCTAATTATTATTTAAATCTTCAACTCATTTTTTTATGGATAACGATTTATCATATTTTT